CAATGGCACGTACATATTCACTAGAAAATCAAAAAAAAAAACAACTTCTAATTGTATTGTTTGTTTGTCTTGAAAGATAAAACGTAAACGAAGCATTATATTGTGTACTTATATTTAATGGGTCCAAGTAGATTTTGACATTATTGTTTGAGTAGGAAGAAAGTGGAGTTTTGAAAATGAATCTCGGAACTGAGCATCGCCAGTTTGTTTCCTTCAGATGTCAAAAATTTCGAAAAACAGACGTCTTTTGAGACTTCTCTGAAAGCATTTCTTGTCTCTTGTCACATTTTGCCTTCCTCCGTATGCTCTTATTGTCTATACTTCTGACAATACTTTTGTCATATGTCACACATTTCTGCCCCTTTTTTCACTAAATGATCTCCATACAACTTGCTGTTGAATCAATAGAGATATTTATTTATTTAAAACAACATTGAAGAGTTTGATAACTGAATCAAATTACTGGCAACTGTTTGGTGTATGTGTCTTCACCACAGTAAACTCCGCCGTCATCAAGAATCCTTGGCGATGATAACGTTGGATTTAGGGTCAATTTGACCATAACTAATTGTTTCTTTTGTTGCGTTTTTATACGCCGAGATGTCAGTGACAATTTACGATGAGACATAGATAAATGTTGATCGTGTTCTTTTGGAAGGAAGCTCGTCGACGATGAATGACTCTTCCGATCATTATTACGATGGAAACATAAAGAAAGTGATTGAAAATTCGATGGAATCTCATCGATGGCCACGCTATGCTTGATCTTCTTCATAGATTTCTCTCGCCTTTCGACGATTACTCCCGACGAGCGTTCACCTAGGTCGCGTTCATAAGAATTCTGAATGATATTATCATCATTGGAATCATTGTCTGTGAAGAATCCACAAGGATGGAAACATTTTAAAACAATCAAGTACTCTTCGCGAAAGGATTCCGAAAGAAAAACGTATAAAACCGGATTGAGGCAATTATTTGCATAACCAATAATTGTTGTTAGATGAGTTAATTCACGAAGAAATCGCATACTGGTGTTGGCGGGTAAAATTGAGAAGTTTAACCGTAGAGAATCGATCAGCGGATCGATGGTGATGAAAATTTGAAGAAACCAGTAAGGTACCCAACAGATAAAATAAGCCGTGATGACGGCGAGAACGATTCGTGTGACTTTTCGATGTGAACGTTGTTTGAGCTCGGATTTGTGCTTGCGTCGAATGCGATTGAGTCGTACAAGGACAAGAATATAGAACGTTGTGATCATTGAAACCGGAAAGAGAAATCCAAGGAAAAATGCGTAATAAGTGAAAACAATTTCAGGCGGAATTGTAAAGATAATCGATGGAAAATCAATGACACATCTAAACAAAATTTCCTAGGTCATTAAAGCGAATGTTCTTCGAAGAATAAGCTGTACCGCTTCAGGGAAGAGAACACTTGAACATAATTATCGTGCTCAATTCTACCAATTCTTTCTGGTTTAAATGGGACCAAAAGCTCTTATCTGCTAACCTTCTCTGCACTATACACATCCGTTCGTGAAGAAATCGAGAAGGAAAAGGAAAAAAAACATCCGTGCAGCGCAGTCCTATAGTTCGATGACGTCAAAGGGGGTAACTTGGATCTGCAGATTCAAGATATGATTGTGTTCTTAGTTTTCATTTCATGCTTGTCATTTGAGATTTATTTCCCATATTTTCTGTTCAATCATCTATTAACATCGGCTATATTTGTCCACCCTGAGTACTTTATCGTAAAAATCCTTTCATTAATTTTTAATGTCATTTTATAGATATTTTTAGGTGCGAAGGTTACTACCGAAAATATGATAAATCCCACTCGATTTACACTGAGATCGTTGGTAATAACAAAGTGCGCGAAGAGCGTCAGGCGTCTTTGATTTTCTCAGAAGATTAATCGAGGAAAACCTTATGTTAACAGTTCAATGCACAACAGAAACTATGTCAATTAAAAACAGTTCTTTTTTGAAGACTCAAATCGACATGTTGCCTTAACTATCTTTTATTTGTCATCAATGTGGTGCGCATATAAAAAGAAAATAATATATTGTGAAAAACTAAGCTCAATACTAATGAATCTCTTTACCGTGCTCATTTCTACTCGTTAGTTTGATAATTCTGCAGAGGTTCCGAGAGAAGGTCGTGTTTCTGACAAAAAGTTCCCGTAGGATAATCTTTGAATTTGGCTGCTTTGAAAAGATCATTGTAAATTTGCTTTTTTGGTATCTAATCAAGGCGCGAATGAAATTCATCGATCGTAAGACATCCTTTCTCGCCCTATTTTCTATTTTTTCATCACCAAATATATCATCTATCTTCATACTGTTTCTAAAAACATCGATTCTTCTCTGCTGGGATTTATATGATTAGAGCGTTAATTCGTTTGACATGAAAGAAAAGCTATAATTGTGTCGAATCCAATGTCCTTAAATTGGTGAGTGCGTGTTATACATCTTTCTTCTCATTAATTTCATCCGGCGAAAAACTTCAAGGTAGCGATCCTATTTCAATACAAACCAATGAGCCTTTTTCACGCATCGCCCTACAATATGCGTGGCTGTACTACGAAGCAAATATCTTACTTTTGGACGCGATAGCCGAGCCAGAAGACGAACCGTTCGGATGTCACTGTTGCGAAGACCCATGTCGGACCCAGAAAGAAAACGGAGATGAGCCAACATCCTTTACGGAAACATATTGAATAACAAAAAAAAACAAATCTCTTGAATATTAACATACCCGCAATGATCAATACGCATTTTGTTCGTGTTCGAAATTCGATTGCGCGAATAGGATGACAGACAGCAAGGTACCTATCGAACGATAGCGCTGCCAGTAGTAACGAACTGACATATTGATTAATATGGATGAAATTATAATACATTTTGCACAAGACATTTCCGAAAATCCAACCCTCAGCGAGAATTGTTACGATGAGGAACGGAACACTAAGAAGGAGAACGAAATCAGCGACTGCTATGTTGAGTAGATAAGTGTTTGTCACCGTCCGAAGACGTGAGGAACGGATGATACTGATGATAACAAGGCCGTTACCGAATGTACCGATGAGAAACAAGATTGTGTAAATAGGAACGAAATAGTAGATTAAATTATTATTGATATTTGGAAAAACTAATAGATTTTTCTCGGTTGTATTGGTCAATATCTCGGAATTATTGGTTTTGAGCATATTGCATTGATTTGTATATTCAATGAAGAAAAATCGACGTGGCGAATAAAAGAGACTCGGACAGAAAATAAAACTCAAGCTGAAGAGAGAAGATTTCTTCTTCTTTTTAGTTCTCTGCTCTTCCGCTTCTCTATTTTCTCTTCTTCTGTCTCCCAAACGGAAATAAGAAAGACAATTTCTAGCATAAAAAAAAGAAGAAGAACGAACAGCAACTATAATTATAATCATTAATGATAACATTGTGTCCTGTTCAAAGCAGAATGTAAAAATACACTTTTGTCAACGTATTTACCGAGGAAAACTCAACATCTAACGAAGCCATGATTCTCATTTCATCATCGTTCGAAAAGAAACATCTTGTTCGCGACTAAGACGCCGAAAAAATTCTTACAAATGTCTATCATAATTGATGACAATTAATCAGATAAATAGAGAACGTTGTTTTTTTTTCTAAACTTGACAAATTTATCAAATGTAATTAGTTCTCTACACATCAGTTATCATATTTGCAAAAATCTGGCGCGTATGGATACGAATGCAACGAACAGAATTGCACAAGACTTCATTATTCTGTCTGTTGTCATTTTTCTTGTTATTTACCAACGCGCTACAGATTAGTTATTCCATATGACTTTTTGTACAAATCAAACTACGTCAATTCTAGTTTTCTTAATAATAAGCTTGCTTCTTGCTTTCGAAGCGAACGGAAATTGACGGTACATTAGATTCTGTGCATGTGATGAGAGATTAACCATAACATGCGTGTCGAGTTTTCCGGTGATCGTTTAGACATGATTTATTACACGGCACGTTACAAATGAAAATAAAATAGAAATAAATTCTTCGGGAGATATGCAAAACGAGAATCTTTTGAACTGAATGAGACAACACAGTGCACTGTGACAGGTATTGCATCATATTGTCAAACTATGATGAAAAACCCAGATGAATGTTCGTGTTTTTCATCCAAAATTTTGAGACGATCTGTTTAACGTTGAGTAAAACCGATGAGGTTTCGAATAATTATAATAAAACGTGATCGAAAGACTAGGTAATGTCTGGATTTCATCAACACGAGAATTAATGCGCTATTAAATAGACAGAAATGATTCTTTCGGGAAATCGTTTAAACAAGATTTCCACTGAAAGCATCTGTACTGAACATGCAACGGAAATTTCTCATACGTAGTGCAACAAGACTGACACTAACGAAAGTACAAATGTGTCAGATTATCATTCCTAATGCCGTTGCAAGTGAATCTCAACACGTCTCTGTCTGTCGTCTTTCCATTGTTAGATTTTATCTATACAGTGAAAGGAAGTGATCATTAAACATGAATATTACTTTCGGGCCACAGTAAAGTCGTATGGATACACCCATTTCTTCACCTAGATAGATATTAGTAATCAAGATTACATCAGTAGGAAGAGAAAACGACAAATGGCCCTTACAAATACGAAATTAATGGGTACCTCCTCTAAAGGTCAGCATGTAACAGTCGATGATTCATTATAAACCAAATCATTTTCATATGCTTTTGTCGGATATGCTTCAATAACTTATCTTTCCCCTGAAGAAAAATGTAATATATGACGTATTTTCACGGTTTCAATAGGGAAAAAGCTCAATTTTATTTTTCATATGTCATTGATGGCCAACTAAGAATCATTTAGGTGGTATTCTATCTGATGTCATATCTCGAAAATACGCCCGGGCAAAAAACAAATCGCATCGAGTATAAAAGGACGAGACACTCAGTGAAAGGAAAAGTCAATACTAAAATATCACAAAAATGGCGAAAATCATCAGCCTTTTTATTATTGTTCTTGTTCTACAAGTGACCAGGGCAGATTTGGATTCCATATTCAAATCATTCCTCGCATCAGTGGCGTCGACAGGTTTATCAACAAAAACAGATGATGCTGTTAAAAGTCTTTATACATTATACAAAACGGAATTCGGTCGAATTTCATTACTACCAGGTGAAAACGATCTTCGTCTTGCCTCGTTCAAGAATACACTCAGTGCCATTATTGAGAATTATCGACAAACAGATGCCACGTACACTCTGGGATTGACCAGTTTAGCTGATTGGACTATTGATGAATTGAATGTACTACGTAGTGGAATTAACTTACCACAAGGTGTTATCAATTCGACAAATGCCAAGCCAAGTGATATTTTATTGACATGGGATGGTAAAACATTGAGCAAACGGAGTACTCTACCAACATCGTATGATTTCACACAACGGGTTGTCAGTGGAACGAATATACCTGTTGTAAGTACCGAGTTTTACTACTGAATACGAGAATTTCATTTTATCATATATTGAAGGTATTACCAATCAGAAATCAAGGCAGTTGTGGCTCTTGTTACGCATTCGCTTTTATTTCCTTACTTGAATTTCAATATGCTGTTCAGTTCAAGAGCAACAGTGACTTAAGTGAACAACAGATCGTCGATTGTTCAACCAGAGATTCGGGTTGTAATGGTGGTTATTTCACTAACTCGTTCAGCTATCTCCAAACGAATCTTTGGCAGGAAAAAAGCGAATCAGTCTATCCCTACAAAGCCAGAGCTAGTAAATGTGCCTTCTCAAGCGCAGGTGCAGGAGCACGATTTCCAACACTCGTATACAAGAGTGTGGCAGCAAACAATGCTGCTGCTATGCAACAAGCTTTGGTCAGCTACGGACCTTTGTGGGTGTCGCTTTTCGTCGGAAATCAAGCAACACAAGCATACAAAACAATATCGACGAATTTCAATGCTTATCAAAAAGGTGTTTTTCAACCAACTGGATGTCCAACATCTCTGAGTTCAACAAATCATGCCGTTGTCATTGTTGGTTATGGGGTTGATGCAACGACGAATTTACCGTACTGGAAAGTGCGAAACAGCTGGGGAACGAATTGGGGANGCCGGACACAACACGTTCTCCGTGTGACATTTGTTGTGTCGTTGATACATCAGGCTCCATGGCTGTTCAAGCAGAAATTCAAAATGACTCAAACGAGAAATTCGGTTTATCCCAATTGGATTTAGTCAAACACGCGTTGAAGACCATCATACACTCATTGCTACCACAAGATCGACTATCAGTTGTTTCATTTGCCAACAATGCAACAGTTCTCTTTCAACTGACTAAAATGGATGAAGATGGAAAATCAAGTGCTTTAGCATCTTTGGCAAGATTAGACGTGTGTATTCAAGTTTGAAATTAGATTCAATGAAATACGTACGATTTTCTCTGTAGGATAATGGCCAAACAAATCTGTGGGACGGTCTTCGAGCCGGTCTTGATGTTTTGACCAAAGGTCAACGAGCAACTGGGGCTAATGCAGCTCTTTTTCTTCTCACGGATGGTTGTCCGAATATAGAGCCACCACGCGGTCATTTGCCAACATTAGAAAAACTGAAGAAAAAGACAAATTTTACTTGCACTGTGAACACATTCGGTTTCGGATATGACTTAGACAGCAAGCTGCTCGAAGATATTGCCATCCTGGGAAATGCTGGCTCATACGCATTTATCCCGGATGGATCATTTGTCGGGACCATTTTCGTTAACGCTGTTACTACATTACTAGCAACTGTCGCAACAAATGTTCATGTAAATTTCGACATTCTACTGTATGATCATATACATTCGATCGTTTTAGGTATGTGTCGACGGGCGACGTATTGAATCGTCGGATTATACACGATGGTATTCAACGGAAAGTACAGACAAAGGTACAACTTTTGACATGGGTTTGATCACATTTGGCCAAAGCAAGGATTTACTTATTCCGCTGTCTCCAGAATTATTGCGTCGTTGCAAATTCTCCATCGTCTATGATACATTGCAAGAGAAACGAAAAGTAGCGAAGATCAATATTAATGAAAATCATAACCCAGATGCTCTCCATCGAATAAATCAACAAACATTTCGCCTTCAATTGGTTCATAGCGTACGCACTGTATTCGAAGAAATGCGTAAATTGCAGAAAAATTCTACTGCTGGAAGAGAATCTCTAGATGCAGCGTTGAATCAATTGAAATCGTTAGAAAATGAAATGAGAACGTGTGCGGATCGCGATGATGAATATGTCAAAGATTTATTAGCGGATTTAACAGGACAAGTTCAAGAAGCGATTTCGCGCGATGATTGGTTTGCGAAATGGGGTGTTCATTTTTTGCCTAGTTTAACTCGTGAGTTTATCTAAACTTCATGTTGAATAGAAAAGATGACAGAACTCTTCGTTTCAGGTGCGCATCTTCTTCAGTATTGTAACAATTTTAAAGACCCTGGTGTGCAACACTACGGTCGAGGTGCACTCTTCTCAGAAATTCGCGATGATATGGACTCGATTTTCTGTGGCCTCCCCGCTCCAAAACCTTCGCAACAAACAGGTGCTCAAATTGACATGTCAGTTTACAACAATCCATCCGGTGGATGCTTCCATGGCTCATGTACAGTGCGTTTGATGAATGGTACAACAAAACTTGTACAAAATGTTCAGCCAGGTGATTGTATGGCACCTCATGGTGGAAAAGTCACTTATGTTGTGAAAACGAAATGTCATAATGGAAAAACTTCAATGGTTTCAGTAAGCACTGCTAACAGAATAAGCGATAGAAAGTTCTATTTCTTTACTTGATTGAATTTTAGTTAGACAACGGCCTCTTGATCACTGCTTGGCATCCGATTCGTCTTGATAATCAATGGCTAATGCCATGTTCGCTTGTGTCTAATCCAGTTGAAATATGCTGTAACGAAATTTATAACTTTGCTCTCAATGGAGGTCATACGGTACTAGTTAATAATACTGAGTGTGTCACCTTAGGACACGGATTTAAAGAAGATATTGTACGACATGATTACTATGGAAGTGAGCGTGTTATTGAGGATTTACGTCGACTAGATCATGAGCAGAATAAATCTGGAATTGTTGAAATTACTGAACAAACCTTAGTGCGTCATGGACGAACAGGAAGAGTACGTGGCTTACAACAAATTACTAATCAAGAACAAATATCAGTTCAATAAATTGATTTATTTGTGAATCAGTTGTGACTTCTGCCTTTTTAAATTAAAACATTTTTTTTTAAACTAATCACATCAGATGTTCCAAATTCAAACGTGTCCTTTGTACGTGATCCACCGTAGTGGAGATTGATATAGAGAGTTTACGACCTCTTTCGAGCGTATCAAATGGATGGGTACGATGACTAATAAACTCTTTCTGAAGAAAAGAGAACAAAAGCGACTTCTAATCGTCTTTAACTTCGATGAATCCCTGTTCTCATTTGTACTTTTGTAACGATGAGGATTACAGAAAATGACTCATGAGGCAGTAGATGTTGCATGATCATCATTGCATTTGCTTTCTTCCATATATAACTGTACTCGATAAGCTTCATTTAATTCAAAATTTTCTGTGTAGATTATAAACCATGTCAAATGCTATACATAGACTTGTTCCGTTCAATGAAATTGAAGGCACTGCTTCTTTAAACGTGCCAGCATATTCAAACAGAAACAGTAGTATTTTTAATATTGGTCGTCATTATCTGTATGGAATTTACACTGGCTTTCAATGGCAATGTGTCGAATATGCTCGTCGATGGTTGTTATTACGCAAAAGTTCTATATTTAAAGATATTTCATCTGCTTGTGATATGNAATGCGCTTCGAAAACGTGTTTTGACCGTCTCAATATTGTAATTATTCGCAGCGGCTGCCGAAGGATTAATCACAAACTGTGCACTAACATTCAACTTTTTCACAAAACGTACATGATTTGTTAATAAGTGTTCCAACGATGCAATACAAACATTCGGATCGACATAGGACGTGAAAATTGTCAAATTTTGAAGATTAGGGAAATATACTGACAGAAGTTGTGAGCATAGTTGATCGAATGTGATTCCCATTGAAAGACAAGTTAGTCGAGTAATTGTTGGAATCGGAGTGAAGTTCGTGATTTTCTCTCGATTGATACCAAACAGAGATAAATGAAGGTATTTCAGCTTCGGAGTGTATCGAAGCAGCTCAATCATATCATTTAATGATATGTAATTGACTGTTAAGTATTGAATATTACTGAACGATGGACTATCATCGAAGAGAGTTAGTTTACGATGTAAATCTAATTGAACATTGATCAAGGTTGGATTTTGTAGAATGAGTTTCAGATTTTCTGAAAGTAAACTTGTGTTTTTTATACAAAGGCGCAGTATTGCGGGTGGAAATTGAAATGTTTCATCAAAACAACATCGATCCAATGTTAACGAACGCAGATTTGTGAATTCGTTTAAACAGATCGGTGGTGTCGTGAGCGATAATGATAGAATACGATGTGGAGAATCGATAATATCTTGATTTTCTGACGAAATATGCAGTTGAGATTGAGTGATGATTCCATCAATACGTGAATTGAGATTTCCAAACGAATAAAAGATTTCGTGCGCCCAAAAATAATCAAAAAGCGAAAGAAATAGTTCGGTAGGAAAGTCCTCCAACTGAGTCACCATTGGACAATCTGCACTGAGCGTAGAAAAAAAACAACTATGTCGATCTTTTTACTCCGGCACATGATATGGCTATCCCATCTATTTGGGAATATCAAATACCAACGAGAAGGAACAGAAGATGGCACTAGGAGATACATATTTAGTTGAAGAATCAGAGTACAGTTACGTTAAAGAAGAATCGTAAAGCAAAAGTTATTGTTCTCGCCTAAGTTACAATCATGGTTTGTGGCTCAGTAACTTTTTGGTATTGGCGATACGAGTGTTTAAGTCACTGGTTAATTGTTCATTCATAGATTGACTAGCTTTACTGAGTATTTTCGCAGCCTCTTCGTATTTTTCTATAGCATTTTGGTAACTACCCATTTTATAATAACAATTACCAATTCCATCATAAAGTGGAACAAAATCTGGATGATCAGGTGGTAAATAAACTGAACTATGTTCTACTGCTTGTTGATAATGTTCCAATGCTTTACTATATTCGCCCTTATACGTATAATTCGTAGCGAGACCTCGATGAACACGTGAAAGGCGATGTGGTTGATTGAGCACTGATGGATCAAGAAGTAGAGCAAGAAAGAACTCTTCCGCTTGTTCATAATCACCTTTTTCCATCAACAATTTGCCCAGATAAGACAACGGATTTGTATAAACATCGCTGCTACGTAATGATAAGGCAATTCGAAGCAACTGCGGATCATCATCGGACACGAGTACTAGTTTCATCAACCACATTGCTTTCGATTGCTCAGTGACTTCTTCAATTGCTTCAATACGAAATGTCGTGTGTCCACTGAATAAAATCCCTGCTTTCTCGCTGGTTTCCGATCCATAAACTTCTTCAAGCGAAGCACATGGACTTCTTATACTACGAGCCGCTGGATCGATGTGCATTTCGAAGATAATACCGATTCTTTCTGGATGAGTCATAAGACGACGACAGATGAAATCAACGGCGATATCTTTATTCGGTTCAGCTATGAAGTAAGCCGAAATTGAAAAAAGACAACCAGATTTATTTTTGAGCAGATTTTCGAATATTTCAAGAGGTATTGTCTTTCCACGATAGACGATCCATTTGTTTTCTCCAGCTAACGAGTTGTTCTCTTGGAAAATATTCATTTGTATGCAAACGTGCTTAGCGAAAAACGCGATTTTGTAATGAAGATCGAATTCGTATGTCCGTTCAATACGTTGTATAACTCGCCGAAGAAAACACGGTCGCACTAACCACGCTAAAGCTTTGTTCGGACGATAATTCGTTTCAAAATCGTTAATGGCACGTAATTGTTCTTCATCGTGAGCGTAATGTATTCGAAAAAAGTTAACAAATTCCGTTTTGGCGTTATTTTCGAATTTTAAGCGATGTAACATCTCTCGCATTAATTGCCCGAGCAGAAATGACGCTTCTTGTCGTTTGAGTTCTGCCGATGTTACACCCATTTGAGTAGGATTAGGAAAAACCGTAATATTGATGAGATCGAGTTCACATAGGTCAAGATCAGTTTTCAGTTGTTGACAAAAACTCTCGATGTTCAATTGATCATTGAAAACATAAATTTTCTCTACTTGTGACAGTTTTTCCAATGGTGTTACCCATGAATCCATGTCTGGTACCAATAAAATGACTCGTTCAATTCGAATACTGTTGATATAGGTAATGCATTCGTTAAAATCATAGAAGATTTTTATATAAGATATAAGTTTACGTAGCTCTGTCTTAATATTTTCCCAACCTTTTGATGAATTCGGTGAATACCAAAGAAGAACGAAATTCTCCATGACACGGACTGGTTGAGGATCATTTACTGGACGTTGTGTGGTCACCAATGGAGAAGGCTTCGTCTCTATCGGCTCGATCGTTTTAGATTCTATTTTTGACTCTGAACAACCCATAAAAGCTTGTGCTTAGTCAAGAAAATGTAAAATGACTTTGTGTTTTTTTTTTCAAATAAAATTTTCTAAGAAATGAACGGAATACTTGAGGCAAAGATAATAGAGCTTGATGAGCAAAGTATTTCCATTCTTCTTGATGAAAATTATTGCCAGAGATAAGACTTCCACTTCTGCACGAAAACATTTCAAAAATCTTTTACATATATTCTTCTTTCACGTTGCTATCACAAGTATTTTTTTCATGGCCCGTCATTGTATGTTACTATTTATATTTGCGTATACAAAAATCATCATAAGATTTCGTCAAAAAATGAAAAATGACGTGTGATTCTCAATCTTAGAATAAAATCCCTTTGTCATAAAGCACTATCGATGTCATCTTCAAGCTATTGCTTGGAAATTTCTCTTTTTCGAGACTTCCCAATGACAAACGCATATGACATCATGTTTGTCTTATTCATACAACTGCTTTATCCCATCATGCACGACGAATAAATAAAGCATTTGCTTTGTCTATGATTACTCAAAAATAATATCCGAAAACTACTGCGCAGCACGTTTCTTCTTCGTCTAAAATGTACTTTATGATTGCGAGCTTTCTCCATAAATCATTAATAAATATTATTATTAACATGCGAGTAAACATATGAGTCAAATTTTCTTTCCTTCCTTTCGATAGTATTTCACAACCTTCAGCACATAACGTTTTTGTATTAAATGGAATGATTTTTTAAGTCATTAGTTGTTAATTTCTAGAAACGACAACATGGCCGAGCCTTCGAGCACGTTTATTTGTCCAATTACGCATGAATTAATGAATGATCCAGTCATTGATCCCGATGGCAATAGTTACGAACGAAAAGCTATTGAAGCTTGGCTCCACAGTCATGGGACTTCACCCATCACACGAGCACCACTTGCAGTTACCGATCTTCGTCCTAACCGTGCCTTGAAAGCTGCAATTAGTGAATATCGCAACTCGGTACAACCTAAAGAGCAAACTAATCGTCATTCTCAAGCAAAAGCAGTGCCTTATGAATTGACAGCAACAGGAAACTATGCAAACGGCTTTGTTCATATTTCTATTCAGCCACCGCCGGACACAACACGTTCTCCGTGTGACATTTGTTGTGTCGTTGATACATCAGGCTCCATGGCTGTTCAAGCAGAAATTCAAAATGACTCAAACGAGAAATTCGGTTTATCCCAATTGGATTTAGTCAAACACGCGTTGAAGACCATCATACACTCATTGCTACCACAAGATCGACTATCAGTTGTTTCATTTGCCAACAATGCAACAGTTCTCTTTCAATTGACTAAAATGGATGAAGATGGGAAGTCAAGTGCTTTAGCATCCTTGGCAAGATTAGACGTATGTATTTAAGTTTTAAATTAGATTCAATGAAATACGTACGATTTTTTCTGTAGGATAATGGCCAAACAAATCTGTGGGATGGTCTTCGAGCCGGTCTTGATGTTTTGACCAAAGGTCAACGAGCAACTGGGGCTAATGCAGCTCTTTTTCTTCTCACAGATGGTTGTCCGAATATGGAGCCACCACGTGGTCATTTACCAACATTAGAAAAACTGAAGAAAAAGACAAATTTTACCTGCACCGTGAACACATTCGGTTTCGGATATGACTTAGACAGCAAGCTGCTCGAAGATATTGCCATCCTGGGAAATGCTGGCTCGTACGCATTTATCCCGGATGGATCATTTGTCGGAACCATTTTCGTTAACGCTGTCACTACATTATTAGCAACTGTTGCAACAAATGTTCATGTAAATTTCGACATTCTACTGTACGATCATATACATTCAATCGTTTTAGGTATGTGTCGATGGACAGCGTATTGAATCGTCGGATTATACACGATGGTATTCAACGGAGAATACTGGCAGATCTACAACTTTTGACATGGGTTTGATCACATTTGGTCAAAGCAAGGATTTACTTATTCCTCTACCTCGTGAACTATTGCGAGGTTGCAAATTCTCCATTGTCTATGATACATTGCAAGAGAAACGAAAAGTAGCGCAGATCGATATTAATGAAAGTCATAACCCAGATGCTCTCCATCGAATAAATCAACAAAAATTTCGCCTTCAAGTGGTTCATAACGTACGCGTTGTACTCGAAGAAATGCGTAAATTTCAGAAACATTCTACTGCTGGAAGAGAATCCCTTGATGCAGCGCTGAATCAATTGAAATCGTTAGAAAATGAAATGAGAACATGTGAGGATCGCGATGATGAATATATCAAAGATTTATTAGCAGACTTAACAGGACAAGTTCAAGAAGCGATTTCACGAGATGATTGGTTTGCGAAATGGGGTGTTCATTTCTTGCCTAGTTTAACTCGTGAGTTTATCTAAACTTCATATTGAATAGAAAAGATGACAGAACTCTTCGTTTCAGGTGCGCATCTTCTTCAGTATTGTAACAATTTTAAAGATCCTGGTGTGCAACACTACGGTCGAGGTGCACTTTTCTCAGAAATTCGCGATGATATGGACTCGATTTTCTGTGGCCTCCCTGCTCCAAAACCTTCGCAACAAACAGGTGCTCAAATCGACATGTCGGTTTTTAACAATGCATCTGGTGGATGCTTCTATGGTGCATGTACAGTGCGTTTGATGAATGGTACAACAAAACTTGTACAAAATGTTCAACCGGGTGATTGTATGGCACCTCATGGTGGAAAAGTCACTTATGTTGTGAAAACGAAATGTCATAATGGAAAGACTTCAATGGTTTCAGTAAGTACTGCCAAACAGAATAGACAATGGAAACTTCTATCTCTTTACTTGATTGAATTTTAGTTAGACAACGGCCTCTTCATCACTGCTTGGCATCCGATTCGTCTTGATAATCAATGGTTAATGCCATGTTCGCTTGTATCTAATCCAGTTGAAATATGCTGTAACGAAATTTATAACTTTGCCCTCGATGGAGGTCATACGGTGCTAGTTAACAATACTGAATGTGTGACCTTAGGACACGGATTTAAAGAGGATATTGTACGACATGATTACTATGGAAGTGAGCGTGTTATTGAGGATTTATGTCGACTAGATCATGAACAGAATAGATCTGGAATTGTTGAAATTACTGAACAAGCTTTAGTGCGTCATGGACGAACTGGAAGAGTGCGTGGTTTACAAGGAATTACTAATCAAGAACAAATATCAGTTCAATAAATTGATCTATTTGTGAATCAGTTGTGACTTTTGCCTTATTAAATAAAAACATACATTTTATTTTTTTAACTAATCACATCAGATGTTCCGAATTCAAATGTGTCCTCTGTACGTGATCTGCTGTCGTAGTAGAGATTGATATAGAGAGTTTACGACCTCTTTCGGGTATATCAAATGGATGAGTACGATGACTAATAAACTCTTTCTGAAGAAAAGAGAACAAAATTGACTTCTAATCATCTGTAACTTAGATGAATCCGTGTTCTCGTTTGTACTTTTGTAACGATGAGAATTACAGAAAATGACTCATGAGGCAGTGGATGTTGCATGATCATCATTACATTTGTTTTTTTTTCATATTTAACTGTACTCGATAAGTTTCATTTAATTCGAAATTTCCTGTGTAGATTATAAATCATGTCAAATGCTATAAATAGTCTTGTTCCGTTCAATGAAATTGAAGGCACTGCCTCTTTAAACGTGCCAGCGTATTCAAACAGAAACAGTAGTATTTGGAGGGTGGGCCGTCATTATCTGTATGGAATTTACACTGGCTTTCAATGGCAATGTGTCGAATATGCTCGTCGATGGTTGTTATTACGCAAAAGTTCTATATTTAAAGATATTTCATCTGCTTGTGATATGTGGCGCGGTTTAACGTATATTGAACGTGTTACCGACGGTAAGCAATTTCCTTTACGTTCTGTTCCAAATGGTTCATCGGAACCACCAGTCAAAGATTCGATACTTATCTATCAGCGTAGTCTACGAATGCCTTTCGGACATGTGGCGATTATTACGGATGTTGTTTCCGATCATGTACATGTTGCTGAACAAAATCATCTACATCAGTATTGGGCAAATGATTACGCGCGTCGAGTGCCAATAAGATTTGAGAATGATCGTTATTATATTGACGATGAAGATAGAGTGTTCGGTTGGATGGTTATTGAGGATAATGATCAATTGAAGCCATTCGAGGAATCGATGAAGGATCAAATCCTTCAACAATATATTCATCGGCAACCTACTGGACTATTTACACGATTATTTACTTCGAATAGGAATCAATAGTCGTAATAGTAATGTTTTTTGTTTGATATGAAAAATTAGTTACTTATATTTTGTTGGATGATAGATATAATTAATAAATCATTGTGGTGCAATTTAATCTTTCTGTCTGAAAAATAGCCAAGCAGTTCGAGGTATGGAATAAAGCCTTATGGACTGTTTATTGGAAATCTGAATATTCATAAAAAAATATGCCTGTTTGTTATGAGTTCAAAAATAAGTTATAAAAACAAGGGCAAATCTTCAAGAAATCACACTTGTTTTGCCACTTTTTTTCTTCAAAATTTGCAATCATTTGACTATGTATTAGTCGATTCAACAAAATAAATTTATGCAATTTCACCTTTTGCCATTCTCCGCGTGTCGTCAGAGATCTACATCCTTTCATTCACACATTTGTCTTTCTAATCAAGTGACTCATTCGTTGATTTCATCAACAATTAAACTTTCACAACGAAAACGAAAATTTTCAACTAATAAAGACAAGGTCATATGAAAGATTTTCTTGTATAAATACCTTCAAACTCATTGAAGTCTTACCCAAACTTTGACAACATAGAACATATCTTCGAAATCTTTCCGATAAAGATCTTTTAACATCGGAAATAAATCAATGATTTGGTTGATTTTGATTCTCTAAACAAAGGGAAAATGTTTGTCGATATAGGAAACAAGTCTTTCGTATTTACTCACCTCAGGTTTCATATCGGTTCCTGCTTCTTCACTGACATGAAGTAAGTAGTGTTTCTAAATCGAAAGACTCAATATGACGAACAGAGTGATCAATGAAAACTCACCGAATTGAAATTCGATTTCAATTGAATGTATCCGGCAAGTTCAGCTAATTTCAATCGATTCGAGTTGATGCAATGAGTATGAGCTGTTGATCGAAAATCAGCGGTTGATGACGGGGTGAAGGATTTCAAACTAAAGAAAAGCAAAGCTTTCGTTCGAAGATGAGCTTAATCGGTGGACGAATTTACTCGAAAAACGATGTGGAAGTCGCAGGTGAAGGATTATTTGGTGTAGTATTTTTATGTCATTGTATGACATGAATATTAGTGAGACTGTTGGATTAGCTGGTTTCAGTATGAGGACGATACACCTAGTCCATTAAATATGACTGGTTGTTGCCTAGTTAGAATTATTGTAAACAAATCATTTCGTCTCCATATCGAAACGAAGTGTCCAATACATTTGGAACGTTTGGTAGCGAAAGAGAGAAAAAGAAATAGAATCTAGTAAAACTTGCGTGTGTGCGTATGTATAATAATCAGATTGGTTTGAAAAGACTGAACATAATATGGTATATTTAATCTAGCTGCGTGTCAGTGTCATTTAATGATGAGAGATACTTTACGAATATATTTTTCAGATGATTAATAACACGGACGATGACAACAGTAGTCGGAGTGCAACTCGGCAGGTAAATGCTCTTTGATAAGTAATATTGCATCAATAAATTATCTGTTGCTCTTTCAAAGAAGATCAACGAGTGCACTACGTAATAAATGATGAAAATCGATTAGTTTGAATTTGTTTAGTTTATTTTCTAGATCCATCAGCTGCTCAATCGACATCTCTAACTAACTCGAGAATCTGTAATACTCACCGAGCTGGTCCATTGAACGTTACATCTGGTTGTACAAACACCGTGACTGATGGTCTTCCACGTTATTCTAGGGTGAATACCGACTTCAGATGGCAGGAATGGTAGAGGTACTGAATCCTATACCACCACTAGCGTAGAGTGAGGATCTCTATGTCATATGTTTGAAGAAGAGAGAGAGAGAAATGCAACTGAAGGAAGGAAAAGCAATAACGATTTATTCGTTAGTGTTCTCTCTCTCATAGAATTGTGTTCTTCTCTTCCTTTAGTTGTCACTTCATCAGGCTATTTGTTTTTCGCTTTTCCTGTGTCTCTAAGTGGTCTGTATGGCAACGAGCACAGTACAGATATAAAAATCCGACATGAACGTGTTCAGATGCATTTGATTTTTTTCTGTATAAACATATCGTCAAAGTAATGCGCAAAGAACATACTCCATATATTCATACAAACTATGTAAGTGAGGAGTGCTATAGAGTATCATTAATTAACGACTATCAATATCAACCATTAATCATTTACCAAAAACCGCTAGTTACAAAGAACATTTTCAAAAATCGTTGATTAGAGCTCATTTTTTGTCTTACGTTCCGTTTTTGTTGACGTTTTCAATCATTTCGTTAGTAATACTGTTTTAAGTGCTTGATTCGAGTGTTAGACCATGTAGGGATTTGCAAGTTCATCAGTTCATATTTCTCATCCTAACGATTCGGCCGCACTTCACCATATAATAATTCTAAGAGCGTGCACGCTGCAAACAGCTTGATAATCGTATTCGTTCTTTTGATCGTAGAATTGTTATTCCAGTATTAATTTCTAGGTTGTATCAACATCGAAACAACTAACAGATTTAACGACAAAAATTGAACAACAAACGACGAAAATAGACGGACTCATCGAAACAATCCAGGATCTTACTATGTCGTTCAAGAGTTTTACTGAACCTTTCAACAGTTTTACAAAATCATTCCAGAGTTTCGAATGGAACGTGAAAATACACATAAGTTTCAAAAGTTTACACATGAATTTTATTGTTCAAATTCAAGGATCTCAAACAACATCACGTCAAAACGCGAAAACAAGAAAAGAATAATCAATTAATAAAACTCATCAATGAATTATCCTTAACCAGATGATAGTTTTCGTAAGAACTGTCACGATGTTCAACTGTGCCCAAATGATTAACGCATAAGGAATTCTCCATAACTGAAATACACCGTGACATGTGTGAAGATGAACGATTACTCGAGGCAACCCAGGTCGACAAATCCCATACTCCGATCCGATCGGATCCCATGTCGGATTGTGTCGGATCCAAAACACGGGTTTTATGTATTTTCTAAGGGTCATCATACAGCCTAGCTAAAAATAACGCTCATAAAATTTGTAACAAATGACTGGATTTCTCCAGTCGCAATCCGATGGAGAAATGCGGTAACCGTTTCTGGCTACCGGTTTTGGCATGTTCCTATGTGTTCCGGCACAAATCAGATAAATCCGGTCACCGGATCCGCCTATCGGGAATACTGCTTCCATGAAATCAACGGAGTACCACGGAATCGGCCGTTTCCAAGCGTTCAAAGAGTTTCAATTCGCAATTCTTTTCGCCACAAATCTTCCCGAACGCCATTTGGTTAATGAACGTGTCGACGTTATTAAAGTTACAACATGCCAGAAAATATTGACGCTTACTTTTATAGAGTAAGACTCAAATAAAGAATGTGCTTTAGCATTAACCAATTTGTTTCATTTTAGACAACTTGTGCTGGGTCTTTTAGACCGAAGACATCTGCGACTTTGTTTATTAATGATGAAGCAATTTTACACGAGATTGAAAATCGTTTCGGTGTGAAGGTTACTGTAATGGCCAATCCAAACGATGTCACTCACTGAGTGCAAGTGCGTTTTCCTATAACATTTTCGATCTCGATTAATCACGTTTCTTTGTTTAGTAGTAAATCGGTGCACGAAATAAACAACTCTTTCAAAAGTTAATATTCAATCAGTTCAGTTGTCTTTATTGAAAATCGTTATTATACGCTTATCTTATCCGTTTATACATATTCATATCTGTTTCTCATGTGGACTTCATGAATAAATGAAAAATAATCATTAAGTAGTGTATTTTCTTCGATGAAAACACAGAACACATTTTGTACAATTTTAATCCCTAATGACCGGATGTATCCAATATGGACGCATGCTTTAATTATGGAAAGCGAACTTTTCTTATCTCCATAATCGAGAAGCAACAGAAATGAACAAAGAAATTTTTTGCTCTACGTCTTCTAGTAGTCGACTGGAAAGGGTTAACACATCTATTGATTCCGTCTAAGGATGTGCGGTATCAGCTTACTGACCACTGAAATCACCGACACTAATGAAACGGAAACACTGATGACATCGGTGCACCGACGGTTACTGATATATAATTGAGTGTGAGATCAGTAAATCTCAGAAGTTATCAGTGTAGTATTTCAGTATTTACGCTGAAACCGCACATCTCTAATTTCGTCATTCATCTAATGCATGTTTCTCTTTCAATAAATTTCACTACATGAATATCATGAAAAATAATTTATTGAAGACAAATCAGAAAGCAACGTAGGAAGTAAATCGATAAGAATAGACGAGAAAAAAAAGGAAAATGCACGTTCATTCAATCATTCGCATAAACGATAAGCAGCCGATTGTGTTCCATTTGTTGATTCACTTATTTCAAATATATATGCAATACATAAAAGTAATTCGTTTGTATCTTTATTCACTACCGTCTAAATCATTTTTGATTGAAGAAAAAATATTAATCAAAACGTTCTATTTACTTGCAAAACTCCCAAATGTTCGAGCACAGCATTCATCATGTCTCGCATGTACATTCCTGTTTTGAGTTTTTGGATAAAATCAATCATAAAGGCACACATTGATGTATCTGTCGAACGATACAGCGTTTTGTTCATCATTTCATCGTATTTCATTGTGCCACTCTAAAAGAAAACTTTCACTTGGAATTTTCTTTATTTTTCAAACTCGTACCTCAATTTTTTCCACAATAGTCTTCTCAAATGAACAAACTTTTGTAGTTATTGAAATATTCAAATTGTTTTCTAAACTCTCAAAACTAAAACGAAAAATTTCAACTAATAAAGACAAGATCATATGAAATCTTACACAGAATAATGGTGAAATGTATCTGTCGGATCTTCTTCATAATCCATATTGACCTAAATGAAAGATTTTCTTGTATAAATACCTTCAAACTCATTGAAGTCTTACCCAAACTTTGACAACATAGAACATATCTTCGAAATCTTTCCGATAAAGATCTTTTAACATCGGAAATAAATCAATGATTTGGTTGATTTTGATTCTCTAAACAAAGGGAAAATGTTTGTCGATATAGGAAACAAGTCTTTCGTATTTACTCACCTCAGGTTTCATATCGGTTCCTGCTTCTTCACTGACATGAAGTAAGTAGTGTTTCTAAATCGAAAGACTCAATATGACGAACAGAGTGATCAATGAAAACTCACCGAATTGAAATTCGATTTCAATTGAATGTATCCGGCAAGTTCAGCTAATTTCAATCGATTCGAGTTGATGCAATGAGTATGAGCTGTTGATCGAAAATCAGCGGTTGATGACGGGGTGAAGGATTTCAAACTAAAGAAAAGCAAAGCTTTCGTTCGAAGATGAGCTTAATCGGTGGATGAATTTACTCGAAAAATGATGTGGGAGTCGCAGGTGAAAAAATGGAAACAGGTGGATTATAATAGGGCGAAGAATTGTCTGGGGTTGCGTTTGATGTTGTTGTATGACGTAATTGTTGATAATGTTGATTGAGAAGAAACGTTCGATGGGAATCTTTAAAACTTGTATCCTAAGTCATTCTTATACGCTTTAACTTTCGATCAACATCAAATTTGGTAGTTACTTTGAATAACGAATGAAGTTCTTTCGACTTTCGTTTTGCTAAAACTTGAATATGAGATGAAACTTGTTTACGTGTACGCAGTTTGCCAGTGCGCATTTTGATATAACGAGAAATCAGCTCATTTCTTCCGAACATTTTGCCTTCGTCAGACAAAATGATCTTTCTTCGACCACATGCAGGATAAATGGCCAATGCTTCCTAAAAATATTGACTTTTCTCATGATTGGATAACACACGAATCACGAAGTTACATGAAAGCTTTGTTCAATATCCGGACTCCACACTCCTTCGCCATCGTTGTTTTGATCATCGTCTAATTCTTCTGTTGAAGTCGATTCTTCTGATTTAATTGAACAATTTGTTCGATCGAAATCTTTAACGAATTGCAATGGTGATGGCCAACAGGACGGCATGCTAAAAAAATCCATCAATACGAATCGATCATGATCATCGAGAGCAGAGTATATCAAATAAAAAGAATGTTACATCATCTCCACACACGCGAAGTTAATTCGATGAGTAAATAGGACATGTTGTTTGTTTCGAGCTTAATAAGAAATGATCTATGCGTGGCAAATTTTCGCATATGTGAGAACAAAGATCAAATCTCTCCTTGTCTTTGAGGTCTTCATACTTACTTAATTAAATGATTAGAAATCATAATTTCGTACAGAGAAGAAAAAAACGTAGTTCGTCTGTAGATTTTCAAATATGTACGGATAATATGATACTGAATAAACACGCACAGAAGAGATATGAGAAAGAATGCTGAAAGACGATTTCGTCTATGCAATGCAATGGATAAAATAGTTGTGCTATCACATCTAACTCTCTTAACCAATCTCTTCCAGGTATGTAATATTATCTTTTCTCTCTCTATGTGTATATATATCGATGTTTATAGGCGAATCGAAATGATTTGTTTGAATTAAATAGCTTACTTTCGGATCTATTAAGCAGCTGTCACGTGTTCAATTAGATGAAGAAAAAGATACAATGAACAGTTGGTGAAGGAGGAAAAAAGAGGAAAAGTCACCTGTGTTCATCGAATGAACATCAATGAGAATGACGTTTTTTCTTCTCCTTCTTCTTCTGAAAGTCAATTTCATTTCCGTGTGAATTCGACTGTTTACTCTGTATGATGTGTTCATCAACGATCGTTTTGAACAAGAAATACACTTACTTGTTCTTTTGAGAAAAACATTCAACGCTTTGTGTCATTCAACAGCACTTTGTTGCTCAGATCAAACGTAATTTGTCGTCGAAATAACACACAAGAGACCCTTAGGACAATCACCTATCGATATTGGCAAAGAAAAGGAGAGCATATGTTTGAATTTTCTTGTGACTTTTTTCTCAAATATGAATTAACGGACATGTGAAAAAGAGATACTTGAATTGAAGTTTGTGATTTGAAAGAAAAAGTGCACACTTCACATAAGAAGCTATTCACAAGTAACATGAGCGATGTGATTTTCAGGCAGTAGAACGAGTATTATCATTGCGATTGACATGTTCGTCTATTCTGCGTATATCACGTAGATGAATGTTCTTCGAAGATGAGCAAGAAGTTGATCTCATTAATTCTGAACAAGTTGAAATCGTGTTCGATGAAGAAAACTCTGATTTCTTGAAAAAGTCATTCAAAAACTCGGTTATCATTGTTATAACAATGTGAATGT